TCAGAACTCACATGACACTTGCCCATCTTTAATTCTAGAAGAAAACACGTGAAGTGGGTAGAGCATGTGCAAGGTTTTACTTACAGCGCAAGACGACAGAACGGTTTGCTTTGAAGATTTACGGGGCTTTTAAAATGAGCGCTGCCTGCCTCACTACATCTGCTACTGGTGCTTTTCCATACCTGCAGAAGCTGCATTTTCAAGCAGAAAGAGCGTGTGTTGAACTTGTTGAAAACCATGGAAGCGCGCGTGTGCTCTGGCATTTCAATGGCTGCCTGTTCTCAACATTCCTCCCAACATCTTCAGTGTGGCGCCTTAGTTTTGGAGCATCCATCCACTCCACCATCCATCAGCTGGCCAGCTGCCTTGTCGCCTGCCACCCACCACGCCCAGCCTCATTACCTACCTACACTCTGCCCACGACGGTTCGTAGACCACTCTCCCCTTGCTTGAGGGCTCTGAGGGCACCTGTGCGTACATATGCAAATGCATCACGAACACGCCCATGCACACGAGCCGGCGCGCACCACGACATGTATGCCATGCAAGCCTACACAAAAAATGAGATGAGAGCGCATATGGTCCTTGAACTTAAATTTGCAAAAGCTGTTGTTTCATGCAGAAGTCCCCTTTTGAGGTTTTGCATGTGGTGTACGCATCATTGGGGGGTGGGGAATAATTACCCTAGGACTCCGAATAGCTCAAAGCAGGCAACCGGTACAATTTATACACATGGCGTCCGGAGGTAGTTGGAGGGAGGGCATTTCTTGGCTTATGGGAGCTTCTTGCTCTGAGGGTTTTGGACTGTTGCATCTTGTTGCTGGCTACGTGTTCCACTGGCCATGGCGTGAAGCCATCAAACCTTTTTGGGGCGAGTTTCTAGGCAAGCCACTGCTTGGGCGTCGAATAAGGTCGCTAAAATTTCCTCAAGCTATCTCAGGCTCTTACTGGCGCAATTATGACAAGGTCCGTTAGCAGCCCCCTCTTTGAGCTCGGCAAGGGGTTGGGGTTCAGGCTGGCCGGAGGAGGTAATTTCCCCAAAGCCCAACTAACCACTAGTAAGCTTCGGCTCCAAGCCCCATCTTTACAAAACTGGAGACGGACGCCCAAAGTGTTTCCACAATGATGCCCAGTTTCTTCACTTGCTCAGCTGTGGCGTGGGGCGGCACGCCGAGGACAGTTGGCCACGTAATTCTTGGATGGCGTGAAAGCTCAATGGCAGAAAAACATGAATCCACTAGAATTCACGGAGCTTATGTCAGCATAGCGCAAAGTAAGAGTGATACAGGATTTTGTCCGTCGACACCAACTCTATAGGACTTCACCAGCTTCGTTCCAGAGCCTAAGCTCACCACAGACAGGATAGGACAGGTTTTTACCCCATGGCTGAAACACCTGCGACCGTATGCCAGAACCCCAACAATACATGGGCCGTAGCAGCCTCTCAAAACTGAAAGAGAGGGCTGCCCGGGATGCCCCATTGAGGCAATTTTGCTCACAAAAGGTTCAGCAAGGCATTTGTATGTCAATAATGTGTGTGTGTGTGTATTTGAGCGGCTGTTCGTCAGCAAGGTATTGGGGCTGCCCTAAAAAAGCGGCGAGTGGCTCTTGTGAAGCCCCTGAGGCCAATTTGTCCTGTAACATCATACTGTCAATGTCAAACCCTGAAATACCAAAACCAGTGAAAAAGAAACCTGAGACCACGAACTCGGCAAATACCGAATCTGAAGCACCCAATCCTAAAGCCAAGTATATAGCCAAATTCCATCCACCTGCGGGTCAAGCCCGAAGAAGAAGATGAAGAAACTCTCAGCAGAAAAGCCCTAAACGAAGAAAGCACACAACGCTTAGAAGCCCATCAATGCTTCCCTGAAATCGGGTCCCAGTGTCTTTGGCCGCCGAACGTGTTTTTTCCCCATGGCTTCCAGGGGCCTTCAGGATATCTATGGGATCCTCGGACCTAGTTACTGCTGCATGCTAAGTGTCGTTGGTTTCAGCCTTGCAATGAAATAAGCGGGTAAATGGTGGGGGGTACTTGTTCGGCGGTCCCCATAATACGGATTACAATATATCGGGGTCCCCCTATTTAGGGAAACTACTATTTCTTGCGACTTATCCTGACCTTTTGCAGTAGGCCCGCCTGTCGAGACCATGGTATGCCGGTCTGGCACAACCTGCATGCAAATATTCAAGAGGCTCAGTACAAAACGCCAAGCCATTTGCTAGATTTCTGGGTTGCAACAGCTATCGCTTTAGGGCTGGTAGAAGTGAGTATCACACAACGAAGTCTGAAGACGACCTTCCCTGGTGCGCTCAAACACGCAGGTTCTCAATTCGAAGCTTCTTGCTCATTAGCGGCCCACCCAAGCTGCTGCCGAGTCTCTTCCGTGCGCGGGCTTGTCGTAACAAAGTGTCGGACAAGCTAGATTTGAGCCCAGCATCGGTCGGGCAACATCTTCAAACAGTGCCCGTTGCTATTGGATAGTTGAACAGCTGACTGTTATGAGGCACCGACGCAGGGCATGCCTAGAAGTATGGCAAAGCTTGCATCATTTGCAAGGGCGGTGTTTCACGTTGTCTTGATAAGCACAGCCTGGCTGTGCCTACTGTTTGGGAGTGGCCGGGTAAAGCAAGATGTGCTCCTGCCGAACGGGCCTGGGCAACCTGAGACTCCCACCCCGGCTAAGGCAGCGTTGACTTTTACTTCAAATGTTGCCTGATCTGAATGGTCTGCAACGTGCTTTCGTGATTTGACATGCTAGCCAAGGAGCCACGACCACAGCGGCTCCGCCAGTGGCAGAAATGAATTTTGCCCAAACGAAGACTGCGAACCGGTTAGCTTTCCACAGGAGGGCCCCTTACGCCTCGCAAGGGTTCTACTAATGCCTGGAAAGTCCGCATAGTACTCCTGACTAAGTGGTGCAAAAGGTCGGGCAACGCGCCTCCGCAGGTCTGCAGAAACTAGATGCAGACACGTCATGCATAATATGAGACTCAGCAACCCAGCTCATTCTGCTCAACAGGATGCATGTGCCCAAATAACTGCGCCGTGCTTTTCGAGTATGGTGCGGCTCACATACATGGTGAAACTCTCCACTCCACAACATGCTCGTTGCAAGTGCATGTGTGAAACTTGCAGGCGCTCTGCAATCTCAATGCCAAACTCACAGCGTCAGTCTTGCCTCGTTCTGAGAACATGCATGACCGTGCTAGAAGTGTCATGACTGATTCATGTTGGTGGTCTTTTGAAGAGGTTTGTTTCGAGTAGACAGGCGCGTAAGGAAACCTATTACATCAAGGCTTTTTGTAATTAAGGGTTGAGACCATCGACTCAAAACAATCTGTGATATACTGGCGCTTCAGGGGAAATGGGGGAATGGAAGCCTACAATCCCTGTAAGGCCCCTACGTACCCCTAACAATCTCTATCTTCCTTCCCCACTTCCTTAAAGCATCAGCATGTTGGGTGACCCTCGCTTCTGACAAATGGGGTTGCCATGACTGGGGGGGTCCCCCATATGCACCTCAAAGTACGATACTATCTAATATAAAGAACCCTAGACCCTCCATGTATATATATATATATATGTACACACACCCTTTGAAACCGCTATCGAGGGACCCCTACCCTCTAGATACACCCTCCATCAGGCTTATACAAGCCCTTTCAAAGGGACCCCTGCCTCTTAATACATATATATATATATACACCCTATATCAACCTTCTACAGCCCGTTAAAGGGACCCCAAATTCCGCAAACCCGGCGGATAAGGATCCAGCTCGAGGCGTCGCCTTAGAAAGGGTCATTGCTATCCCTCTGACTCACATCAGGGAATCAAACCTAGAGTTTAGGATTTAGGGATTCGGCATTAGGGATTCCCTTAACTCAGACCTCTAGTAAAAGGATATAGGGCCCAAAGTTTAGGCTTTAAGGTTCTTGTCCTCTGTAGGGTTATATGAGCCATTGCCAAAAATCCTACTATGCCCCTCGATAACCCCTATAATACTCCCCTATATAGCCCCCTGGAAGGAGTTCAGACTATAGCTTATCCTACTTGTGTTTAAGGGGAACTGGGGAGGGAAGGTAGGTACGGTTGTATGGGTATCTCGAAGGATTGTCATGGTTTTGGGGTTAAGGGTTTTTATGGCTTTTAGGATTTAAGGTTTTCAGGGTTCAGGGTTAAGGGTTTTTAGGGTTCAGGGTTTTATCTTTCAAGATCAAGGCTTTATTTTTCAAGGTTTAGGGGGTTGTTCTTTGGCGTTGATAATACTTCAGTTCCTGCATGGTCTTCTTGTGATCATGTTATTCTACAGCTTAGCTGCATTCTGTACATGCACCTCTGCACATTCCAGGTGCATGCATTGGGTTTCCCAACCCTTAACCCCAAATCACTTTTGGGGCGATCATTTGGAGAAAGTCCCGAGTCTGTATCTGAGAGAAGCACAGTCGGCGCGCCAAGGGGAGAAGATGGACCTGTCATAGTATCAGTAATTCTTCGTTTAGAGCTCCTACATAAACCCAGCTTCCTTTGCATTTTCTATTTGTTCGTGCAATTTTCCACCATCCCTATACTAGCCCTGATTCAGCCCAGCTGACGAAGCGCAACGGTCATGTTGTGGCTAGTGAGCGAGTGCTGTGGGTGAACACAGGGTTCCCCATCTGCATCCAATCTCACTCTGTTAATCTCATCTTAAGATCACCGGGCGTCGAATTCTTAGAGATCATGCAGTTTTGTGTCTTACCCCGAGCCATAGGGAACTCGTTGGGGGTTGAGAGTACTTTTAACCTTATTGTAACTGTACTTCCTAATTACGACCATATGAGGGGACTTATGGGCAGATAAGTAGAGTATAAGTGCAATTATCGACGAGTTACATTAACCCAGAACCTTCAAGCAGCACCTAAGAGTTGGCGAAGGCAATCTGTTGATAAACGCCATGCTTGTTTCGGTGCTATGTAGCTGACATGGAGGTGAAGCATGCCCGCACAGAAATGCGGCCTCGAACAAGGCAGCGGCGGACTCTGTGTCTTTCAGGTCCACAAACTGCCTCGGCACATTCGACATGATGCAGAGAGAGGGTGGGGGTCCATCTATCTGCGGCTTCATGTTTCCCGGCCTGCGAGCAGTTTCAACAAGGAGCTCGACAAATAGCTCGAAGGCCTGCCATAGCAAGGTGCACTGTTAATTCTGTTGCATCCCACAACTTCTATTTAAATGCGCGCACAGAAGCATACTGTGGCTGATGCAGCTTTGATCTGAACACGTGGCCCCCGCGCCAGTGCTGGCTCTCCGGAGTCTGCAGGAGTGCCGAAGCGCTCGGCAGTTTCAGCAAACACGGCCTGCAAGCGGAGCATAAGAGGCTTTGGTGCAAAAGCTCTGGAGAGCTCTACACAAGATGCCTCCAACCTAGATAGGTGTATTTCGAAACGCTAGTGTTTTCGAAAACCGTACTACAGGGGCAGAAATAATTCCCAATATCATTTTGAGGTCCATTTGAGGTACCATATACTTTAATTGTACAAGGAACATGGAACCCTGATATTGGCAAATATTTAGGCCCCTATAGTAACTACATTGGGATTTAAGGTCTGACGTGGTTATAGCTTGACTGTTCCCCTATCTGGCCTCCAACTCTCCTTGAGAGAGCCGGAGCTGCGAAGCATGGGCCATCCGTAGGTAATCCTGGTCTCCGCTTGACTTACTGGGGAATAGTTTAGGGTTTAGGGTTTAGTTTTTTTTTTCAGGGTTTAGGGTTAATAGTATTTAGGGTTTAGGGGAAAAGGGGAATATGTTATATAGGGATTATATAAGGATTTTATTCCCTTCTTCCCTAGTAACCCACCAGTAAGTTGAAGCGGCAGGGGGACTGAATAAGCACACTAATGGTCGTCTATTAGCTACATAATCTCCGAGTATACCCTACTCATCTCGGTTATGAATCTGCTGACGAAGCGGTAGTTTCCAAAAATAAGGGGGACCTCAACATAGACCCAACTATACTACAATCCTTATTATGGGGGTCTCCCCCCAAAAAAGGTACCCCCAATTTTGGGAAACCACCAAATATCCTCAAGATAGACAGAGCAAGCTCAACATGGTGGATACTACAAATCCCGCAAGACCCCAAGTACCTTATACCTTGGGAACCACGGTATGATAGTATACGAAGATCGTACAGGATTTTCAGTATTAGCACGACCACAACGTTTTGCACACCTTTTTGGGTTCTAAGCCGACGCAGCGCCAGCTTTGCACATGAGCAAACGTGAGGCAGCTGCAATGAATTCCCTGCTGGGAATCATTGAAGTCCTCCAAGTCAGCGCATGAGCTCTAAACTAAAAACTACGCCTTGAATTTTGCAAATCTCAGAAGTCGCTGCGGGAATTTCCCTGCTCAAGAAGTCTTTTAAGGTCCTGGCGTTCATGGACTGAGTGTGCTTGGCTGCGGGATACAACTGATAGATGACAGCAGCTGTCTACGTGCACAGGATGCCGGCCTCGCGGGTTTGAGAATCCAACTTCTCGCGCACGTCTTTGTACAACCTGTGGTGCTCAGGCTCTCATTCGTGAGCACAACATGTTAAAGCGTCTGCATTCACGGCAGGCGATCGTTGGCAAACATATAAGTCTCCTAATGTGCCCACAACTGGGCTAAAGCAGCAAATGCAAGAATTGAGCTATTATATCATCCATATGAAGCCCCAGAATACTCACTATACATTCCCCTAGAACCCCATTGAATATGTACAGGTGTACCTTGAACCTGCAAGTGGGGAAGGTCAACCAGCCTCCCCCCTTTGCAAGCAAGCCCTCCCCTTGGAGGGTCATTGGAACGGTTTAGGGTGAAAGGGTTTAGGGTTTAGGGAAAGGGTTTAGGCTTAAGGGAAAGGGTTTAGGGTCAAAGGGTTTAGGGTTACTAAACTTTGGCTAGCTGGGAATGAAGTAATGGAATAAAACAGGGAAACTACGATAATGGGTTATACAGGGACTACTATAAAGATCAATTCCTTCATTCCTAGCTAGCCAAAAGCCAGAAATTTACTCAGAGACTTCGTGGACTAGGGATATGACCTCAATAATGGAGAATCAAATGGAAAAGCATGGAAAATGAAGTGGAAATTTGGGTTATGCAGGGGAAGACAGGTATTAATAGTTCCTACATAATTTCATGGTCATGGGCTCCTTATTAGGGAAGATATGAGGGACTATGCTAGACTACAAGAGGGACCCCTATGTCCACTGTTAAGGGTCCCTTGGTAAGACTAATATTGGCAGTAGCTCACTTAGGGCGTCATTCAGACCCAATTCCATGGAAGTCTCAGAGTTATGCAGGGCTTGTATAAGGCTTTTTCTGGCTTCCTTAGGACTATAGAGGATTGAGGGTAAGTATAACCCACATATTGTAGTTGAGGGAATATCCTAATTGCAATCATATAATGGCACTCATTGGGCTTTCCATCTGGTTATAAGTGCAATTTTGCATTGGGTTAGAATCACTAGACCCTTCACCCCTTTCTCTATCCCTATAAACTTTCATTTTCCATTTAACCCTAAACCGTAAACACCATATCTCGAGCTTCCATTTACTGTTCCATTTTCTGTCCATTTCATTCTCCATAAGTTTTGCCCAAAACCCTAAACCCTTTCTCATCCTGAGCCTCCGAGGAATGACAGTCCAAGCGGCGCAGAGTCGCTTATGGGCGCGAGGACCTGCGTCGGGTGCAAAGGTATCATCTACGGTACTAGGGATCCACGATATAGCGAAGTTTTAGGGTGTAAGATATGGATTCTCCAATATATTGAAATACCTAGTGTATAAGGTATATAGGGTGGTGCACAGTTCCCTCCGTCCAGTGTACCGACTCCCAGAAAGACTAGTTTCCCTAGTGCTCATGGGCGTATTCCTGCTGTCGGCATCTTTGGCAGATAAGCCTATACAACCCTATATAAACCAAAACGTATACAACACGAAATAAGATTCTTTAACCCTCCATTTTGAGAAGTCCCCTGGCGCTGCTCTTCGAACGGCACTCGCCTCTGCTATCTCTCGCTTGTAGATGCGCCGCAGAATTCCAAATTTGGCAGCAAACTTGAGGAAGTCCTGAACTCAGGCTCTCCTTTCCCACCCTTGGGGTTTAGGGTTTTGGGTCTCCATACACCCCACCACAAGGATTATGGGGATCCCCTCGAGGCATTTTGTAGAGATCTGTTGAGAAACTCCCATCTAGCTCCTGCGTACAGAACAGTGCTCATGCAAACACACTAGTAGCAACAAGAGTCACCATGTTCAAATTTAGATGCCAGTCTAGTGATCATCACAAAGATCATGGTTCTTGCCACCATCCCGAATTGTCCTTCAAGGTGTGCTCCAAATCGAAACACTCGGCGGGCCGCTGCGGTTGGTGAGAGGAGGACGAGCTTGCCGCTCCACCGAGGATGGGCCTTAGTATTTGTGAGAAGCATCGCTGGTGGTGATGTGACTTTAGGTTTCTTAGTGACTTTAATGCAACTGGCTCTAGCATTCTGCAACATGTGCAAGTGTCTATCACTGATCATTTCTAGTAATGGTAGTAATAATGGTCGTCATAGCAAGAGCAACAGCAATAAGATTACGAGTAATAGTACTAGTATAAGTAATGATGTGAATACCTTTTCTTGTAACAACGGAAATAGCAACTAGTGATAAGAAAAGAGTTTATCCACATTGTCATTTTTATTATTGGTAATAGTTGTTGTCATACGACTGTAGGAGTGGTACTACTACCGCTACTGCTTGCACTGCAGAACTGCTCAAGCTGAGTAGCGTCTGGGGGTTAAGCCAAGCGAGATAATATTCTGCATATAAGAATACGCTACTCAAAAGGAGGAGATAAGCTTTCTTTCTATTATTGGGTACCATAGTAACCCCTGAATAAAATACTGCTCAAGCTTACAAACCCCCAGGCTTACTCTTCAAAAGCAGAGCAAAACTTCTTTTCGCGAAATGTCCAGAAACGAAGTCTCAAGCTGAATTTCCATCATATACGGCAGTTTCAATGATACCAATAATATAGACCCAAAAATACAACAATCCTCATTATAGGGAACTTCTACCGCAATTTGGGGGAAAAAACCCTAAATGTTTAGAAATATACCAATGTGGTTACCAGTCAGGGACCCCTATCAAGGTGCCCCTTGCTTTTTGGGGAGGTCCTAGGCCCTAACTCCTTATCCCTAAGCCCTTGAAGTTTTAGGGTTTAGACCCTTAACCCTAAGCAGTCTAGGGTTTAGGGCTTAGACCCAAAACCCTAAAACCTTTACCATTTAAGGGTTTAGGGTTTCAATCTTTAACCCCATGATCGATCCATGCCACGACAACCAAGGCGAGGGGCCTGACGAGCTTCTTCACCCTCTTCCAGGTCTCCTTCCAGGAGTGTAGTTCAACATCATTAGGGATATTAGGGTGTAGGATATAGGATTTAGGATTGAGGATTTAGGGTTTAAGATTCAGGATTTAGGATTTGATAACGGAAAAGACAATGGCAGCTACTACTTCGGGCTCAGGGTTTGATGGAATATGTCCCTTTTTTTAAGATATTGGGGTCTATGTTGGGGCCCCACACATGGCGGGCTTCCAAAAACGGAGCCCGTCTTCCCCGCAGGCGTAGGATGAAACCTTTCTTTAAGAGATTAAGCCCCTTAAGCCCTGAAATCCCTGAACTCCAAACCCCTACAGAACCCCTATAACACTTTAAAGGGACGAAAACGAGTTATTCAAACCCTAAGCCCGCAAACCTTCAATCCTGAACCCTAACCCTGAACCCTCAACCCTGAACCCTAAACCCTAAACCCTTAAACCCTTAAACCCTTAAACCCTAAACCCTAAACCCTAAATCCCACTGGTGTTCTTGGGCATCTCTTTGCCGCTGCCCACCTCGCCATTCTGCTCGAGTTCAGCTCGCTCCTTTGCTGTCTTTGAAAGCTATTTAGGGGTTTCCCAAAATGTAGGGTACCTTTAAAGTGGATAGTTAGGGGTTATATCCGGTTTTGGGTTTCCCAAAAGTGGGGGTACTTTTTGGGGGTCCCTGTAATAAGGATTATAGGATTTTGGGGCCTATATTGGAGCCCCCCTATGTAGGGAAACTACCACTTCCCCATGCGAGCAGCTCAGCTTACCCCTTTGCAGGAGCTGCGTTGAGTAAACTATAATGCAGGCCCATGATTTCCCCTAAACCCCTCCTTTTAAGGGACATAGTATTAGGAATCCTATTGCAATCGGAATTAAGGGGAGGGAGTTTATTGACCACAGGATTACATGAAGCAAGAATGTGCAGCCTTGCGTGGACTTTTTTTTGCTAAACTTACCTGGGAAGAGGTCGTGTCAAGCTTCCAGCGGCCATTGTGGAACTTGCTGCAGTCTCTCAGCCATGGAAACTGCACATAGTTCGCGGCCGCTAGTCCGACCTGCAATCACACTTGAAAAAAACTGGCTTGGCTAAAGAAAGCCAACAGCAAACCCTGTCTAGCGAGGTGCCAAGTAGCCGTCCCTGGCCCCATACTCGGCCGCTGCAAGTTGGCGGGAGTTTGTTCTTCTTGAGGAACGCTCAAGCTGCTCGTAGCCTCCAGCGCAGAGATCTAAAACCACACGATGACGGATTAAACTGTTCATGAGGCACTGCGGCTTGCTGCCAG